GCTTTAGAAGAAGACGAAGAGTGTGCCGAAACGAAGCACCCAAAAAATGACATTATATAAAGCAATTAAAAATAAACAGAAAAGACGACAACGCGCAGTACACTTCACATCCTTGATGTTTCTGCACGGAACAAAAACAGCGGCTGCATGTACCTAACGTGTCCGGAGTCAACAGGTATCGTTCACGTTTCCTTTGCAAAAATACAGTTACCTAAATCTGTGATAATCTGTCATGTTCCAGATGTACAAGGAGGAGGTATATTTTGGCTAATGTTATTTGTGCTGACTAATCATGGTGACCTGGCAGGGTTTTATTAAACAGTGTGTAAGTTGTGTGATTAAAAACAAGACTTACTGTAAGTTTGTCAGATAAAAATAAAAGCACAGCAACAGATTGACAGCTTGAGCTGAAACACGTTTATTTCTTGATATGCTTTTATCTTAGTTTAAATCAGGGGTGCCCAAACATTTTCCCTGAGAGGGCCAAAAATAAAATACATTTTCCCTGAGCCGAACTTCCTCATGGCAAAGCCCCCCCCCCCCCCCCCCCCCCCTTCCATGACTCCTGCGGGCTCCCGGGTCAAAGTGAAAGTGGAACCTAATTGTCTGCTGAGCTCTCAACATTAGTTCTCACTCAGTGAAGCTCTTTTCAGATTAAAAATACCTTTGAGGAAATGTATTTTCAGATGCCAAGTAAATTGCATCATAGCGCATGCTTGGCCTGATTTGACATCAGCTACTGTTCTTTTGATTGGTTCACTGGCCGAGGGGTTACGTCACGCAGATAAGAGAAACCTCACGTGAATCATTTGTAGTGACTGTAACATTTTGTTTAGTTTATTTACATGAGTTAAACTCAAGAAGAAGCTAACGTTAGCTACAGTTACCGTTTTCGGTCGTCCTGCTCTCTTGTCTTAAAGGTGACCTATTATGGAGATCCTAAAACAAGTTAGGATCCATCTGTGGGCCATACTAAACATGTTCATTTGATTTAATTCATAAAATGAATCTCAGATAATGAAATTTCACCTTTTCAGTTCTGCCTGTTCTTTAGCTCTCTTCAGAACCTACTGTTAGGCATAAGTTGCTACTGACATCCCCCTCCCTACCTTTTGTTTATGTTAACTCCGCCCTCCCAACATGGCGTTCTTGTTAGCAACTAGCAGTCTGGATACTCCCGCGCCACAGTGCCGGTGACATGGAAATCTCAAGGCTGCAACGTGCGCTGACCTCCACAGCACCAAGGCGCCTGACTTCAGTCTGTCCCTACCGAGCCCTGGGAGTGGTTGGACTGTGCGCAGCCGGATCGGTTCACGATGAAGTGCCCCGCGCTGTGTGGCCACCCCAGGGGAGGCCGCTCTGTTCAGTGCAAACAGGGCCAGGGTTGAGTAAGGCCAAGCTGACAGCAGCGGTGCCCTCTTCTTGATGGCAGCTGAAATAATGTTTAAACGGTCTTTATCAATTAATCAAATGGAAAGAACTTCAACACAATAAACCATTACTCGACAGTTAATCATAAGTCAAATTATTATTTGCATTCCTAGTTTGGTTTCTTTTGTTCTGTTATTGGGGTGGCTGTGGCAGAGTGGTTAGTGGTTACGACTCCAGTGGGTTGCTGGTTCAATCCCTCATTCCAGCTGTCTCTGTCATTGTGACTTCGGGCAAGACACTTTACCTGCTTTGCCTGCTGATGGTGGTCAGAGCGGCCGATGGCGCAGTATGGCAGCCCTGCCTCTGTCAGTGTGCCCCAGGGAAGCAGAGGCTAGTTTACCATCATTGGTGTATGAATGTGTGTGTGTGTGTGTGAATGAATGATGCATGAAATTGTAAAGCGTCTTGAGGGTCTCAAAGTGTTATAAGACTAATGCATTATTGTTGTTGTTGTTCTTGTTGTTAGTATTGTTGGTAATGTTGTGTCAACAATGTTAGTATTGTTGGTAATATTGTTGTGTCAACAATTTGTTGAAAAGTTGTTTTTTCAGTGGGAATGTAATAGTGTTTAAAATCTTAATAACCAGAGGTGCACATAAGCAGTGCACAGGTGCGCTTGCGTGGTCAAAAAAGGAAAAAGCGCACCAGATGGGACGTCATAAAGCTCCCTTGCGTACCTAAGATTGTACCTGATTGTCTGTCAAAACAACAGTTAGCAGGGCTCTAGAGTGTGACCAGTTTGGTCGCAAACGCGACCTGATTTCTTAAAAAAAAAAAAAAAGAATCCAGCTGCACTGGTGTGAATGGATTGTTGTTCGGTGCGCCAGAGTGGGACCCTGAAATAAGGATTAAGTGAACACTGCCTTCAACAAATCAAAACGAAGTCCAGAGCTGTTTTGTCCAATCAGAGCAGAGCAGGGCGGGACTTTCAGTGAGAGCATTTTCGGTTGAAGCAGCGGACCGGCTCGACTCGAGCTGCTGCAGCGATCAGTCACATCTCCTCCGCTCCTCCTGCACTTTGCTCCTGAACTACCAGAGACTTTGGTCTGTAAAACCTTTAGCTATATTAAATATATGTTCTGAATGTTGTTATTGAACAGATCTGTCCAACTCTGTGTGAGTGACTAAACTCTCCTCCTGAGAGACTGCTGTATGAGCGCGTCGCTGCGCGCGCAGGCTGTCTGTGAGATTCACTGAGTTTTTCTAAACAAACCACATTAAATAACAGAACATTTGTTTGCCCCATAATAAAGATGATTCTCTGTTTAACACCCCCATCAAAAATTATATATATTAAAAAAAATAAAAACAACTTGCCATGTTCTCTARGTGAAAGAGTTTTAAATCTTATTTAAATTTATCATAAAGATCCACAAATTTCATTCACAATTTTATCAAAAAATAAAGTTCTTGATTTGCTAAACTTGTATATATTTAGGGCCATACTGTGATACAGCTTTTCTGGGATAAATGTAATTTATTAAACGATCAAATATGAAGAATAAATAATTACATGAGCTGAAACATCTAAATAATATAATATTTTTGAATAAAATAGTCTTTTAAAAAAGAAATCAGTCTAACAAATAAAATATTTGTATGTTTTAAGTTATTTTGCTCTGTGCAAAAGACAGATATTTGCTGCTTGGTCTGGAGTGTGGAAAGCTGGTTTAACTAAGGCCAAAGATCCAGAAAACCAAACAGGACCTGTCCATATGAGGGACATGTTAGTCTAAAAGACATTAACCATGAAATGTTCAGTTTGTGATGTTTATATGACATACACCCAGCCCCTCGGCCACTTAGGTAGTTTACAAAATTTATGCAGAGTAAAAGAATAAATTAAAATCTTGTTGGACTGATTTGGCATGATGTCCTGAGACGTTGCAGCTGATAGGAGTCATAAAACAGAACAGGGGGACGTTAGATGTCCTGACGCCCCTCTAGATAAATGTGTTCAATGAGTGAAGGAAAATATGAGTGAGCACCAAGTAACAACCCTAGGTTCTCCCCTGAGAACCAGACCAAAAATTTTATGTGCAACCTTGTTAATAACATTCTTATTTTAAACAAATAATGTAATAATTATTGAATAGTAAATAAAAGTGAGAAAAACATTCTAAAAGTATGTTTTTTTACATAGTTTGTAGCATTGCTTGGGGCTTTGCAAGGGGGGTCCCTGGCCAGAAGCTAATGCTGTGCCTACTGCTACCTTACAGATTAAATATTCAAAATACTGCAGGCAGTTATATTTTATTCTCTTTAGTGGTTTGTAAGATTTTGGTTAATTCATCTAGTGGTTATTTTATACATTTCATGTACAATTTTAGATTTAAAAAAGCCTGACTGTCCATTGTTCAGGGCCAGTCTATGAACCTGCATCATTCAAATGTTGTTTCTAATCTGCAAATATGTCTATAAAACCCCACTGCTATGCAGAAACACATGGTTTGCACAACTGGGTATACATATGCATTCACATGAATTGTCTTGGTGTTCCTGCTCTCTGCTCCCAGCATGCACCTGTCTCACACGGCTAGCCTGGCTTATTAAAAATAATGGTGTAAAATTCCAGGTTGTGATGTAGCCCTCCAAGTCCTCATGTTAGAGAATCAAAAACTTTCCTTCGCTTATCATCATTGCTCAGCTGATAATAAAATGTTCAAATGCTGCTTAATGATCAGCAAACCACGGTCAGCTGAAGTTACTGCCTTTCTGCAACACAAACTGTTTTTTACTGTACCTCTATGTCGCTGTTTCCCTCCTTTTCAATGCCTGGTTGTAGATAGTACTAGTCACGCATTTATGTACGGTCATGAAAGAGGAGGACTGAGCAAAGATCATTGTTGAGTCTATCATTTTGTGTTATTTGCATCACCACCTGCTGTCAATTATTAAGAAGGCTCTGTTAGCTTGCTAAAGTGCATTGAGCGATTCTGCGAGGAAAAGTCTCCCAAACAGTTCACTGACGGGCATGACGTAATGTTCCTAGTGTGATCAGACTATTTAAACCGGTATGTCAGTATTCAGAAAATTCATATAACAATGAAAACAAAAAAATGTTTTTCGGTAAAAACCCTTATACTGCCCAGCTCTACTACAAAGCTTCAATAATTCATGCCCTCAGTTGCCAAACATTAAAAATTAAAGGTGAAGGAGCACAGTGGTGACCCTGTCCCAGCTTTTTTTAGGACATGTTGCAAGCATCAAATTCAAAATGTGTGAATATTTGCAAAAAGCAATAAAGTTTATTTGTTTTAACATTAAATATCTTGTCTTTGTAGTTTATTCAATTGAATATAAGTTGCAAAGTATTTGGAAATCATCATATTTTGTTTTTATTTATGATTTACACAACGTCCCAACTTGATTGGAATTGAGGTTGTAAAATAGCCATGACTCAACGGTCCGGTCACATTCTTCTCTTAGTGGAAAATGTCACCTGACTTTCACAGCTACTAAGAGAATAAAATGAAGAGAACAGCATTTCCTCAACTGAGCTCTACATCGCTTTGATTTGTCTAACTTCTTTTCTGTCTGTCTTGTCTTTCTCTCGTTCTCTCTGACAGGCTCAAGACAAAAAGAAAGCTCTGGAGGAGACCAAAGCCTACACCACCCAGTCTTTGGCCAGTGTTGCCTACCAGATCAATGCCTTAGCAAACAATGTGCTGCAGCTGCTGGACATCCAGGCCTCTCAGCTGCGACGCATGGAGTCCTCCATCAACCACATTTCTCAGGTAAACTCTGCAGCAGCTGGAGAGGGGAGTTAAATCCACAAATATGTCAGATTGGGAGTTGAAATACAAGGTTGATGTCCTGGACTGTTTTTCTGTGTTTTGTGAGCTGTTTGTCTTCTTCTGCTGAAGCAGTGTCATAGGAATCTTTATTGTAGAATTCTGATAGTTTAACACTGCTGATTCTCCAGTTATCTGCTTTTCTCATGGACTTGTCCTGCCTGAGTACTCCTAATGTCTTCTAACTGTATGCTTTATCAAGCATGTCAGGAAAAAAAGTTAAAGCCTAATGCATCTCTCCCAGTTGTGCATTTTCACTTCCTGCTACAGTCTGCGTGCTGCAGGATTGAATGCTCAGTGTGGATTCTTGTCTCCTAGTTGATGTTTCTGCTTTAGATCTTAGAGCCCTCAATGCAAACCACACTGTTACTGTGAACATTCATCCTGCAGAGAAACCTTTAATACACACTAATTTCCTGAGTTTCTAGAAATCATTTTAAGGCAAATGGATCAGTTGTTTGTTTTAAGATAACTTGGAAACACATTCAGTGGCTCTACTTATTATTTTTTGAAATTATTAAAGCATTCACTTGTCCTCGAT